AGACCAGACCTCACTAAAAATGAGGTCAACAAATATGCCCAAGTTTTTATAGGTCTACCTCTGTCTTTCTTAACATAAGTCAAATATAAAACATCCACTCTCATAACCGGATCATCTGATGGTCGACGGACCATCTGATGGTCAATGTTTAATATGACCAAATCATCTAAGACGATTCTCTCTAATTTTGGCAACACTTAACTTGGTTTTATGCTTCTTATTTAAAGGCCAACATTCTACACCATAGAGCATTGCAGGTCTCACCATTTTCTTATAAAATTTTCTTTTCAGTTGAAGTTGTACTTTTCTATCAGACAATAGGTTGGATGCATTCCTCCACTTCAACCAACCAACTTGAATTTTACTAATAACACCCCATCTCTATCACCATGACTTTGAACTATAGATCTGAGATATCTAAAGCGTTCACACCTTTTAATGATTTGATCACCAATAGTTACAACTCTGCCACTACAGCTACGACTACTAAAATTACATTACATGTATTTAGAGTTAGTTCTACTCAAACAAAGGCCTTTAGACTCCAATGTAGACCTCCATAACTCAAGTTTTTTCTGAACTCTCTCTAGTTTTATCTACAAGAAGGATATCATCAGCGAAAGCATACACCAAGGTACAATACACCAAGGTACATCGTCCACACCAAGGTACATCGTCCTGTAAATGTCCAGTGAGAGCATCCATAACTAAAGCAAAATGATATGGGCTTAAAGCCAATCCCTGATGTAATCCTACTGAAATAGTGAAATATTTGGTCAATTCTCCTTTTGTTTGAACATAAGTACCACCTCTAGTGTGCATATCTTTAATGATTTGAATATAAGTCAAATTAACATATTTCTTCTCTAGAACTTTCAAAGGATTTCCCTTGAAACCTTATGATAAGCTTTTTCTAAATCAATAAAAATCATATGGAGGGTTGTGTTAGGTAGTCGACAATATAAAATTTATCGAAAAAATAATGACATTGGCATGATTGTAGAAGAATTTAAATATAAAACTTTCATATTATGTATAATTATATAATTTTTTTCTTAAATTTAAGGGGACGAGAGCCTTGTCACCAAGTCCATCCCTAATTCAACCACTGAGCATATATTTTTTTCTCCATCTATGTTAACAGACTTCAGATAATAGTTTTTTTACCACTTTGGATATTATAGGCTGCTTTCCGGGCAAAAGCGATGGAGTATCACCCAGATCAGAATCCAGATAATAAAGGTAAACTCTTTTTATTCATCACTTATTTCTTAAAAAAAAAGGAGAATTACAAACAGACCACCCGAAACATTAATATTTATAAATTAAGCATCCAAATGATTTTTTTTAACTACCAAACAAACCGATGTATCATGCATGCCATGATCAAATTACTTAGAATTTGATAAAAATGAAAAAATATGGATTGGGGTTTTACCATGAAGAAGGGTGGTTAGTTTGTAAATAGCAAGATCCGGATGCTCTTTATGTAATTGCCCAAAAAACAAAATATATGGTATCTTATATTCGAGACTGAGTGTTGAACGAAATTCTTACTGTTTCAGGGGCTGCAGAGGCTAAATTTAAAGAAGTGATGGTATCTTATGAAGCCATAAAGTTAGAGAGAAAAATTGGGTGATGCTGATCACAATACACCATGAAATTTTTGCTGTGGAGTTTGCTTCTGTTATGAGGCAAGACCTGTATGATAATTTTTCTTGTTTTTCATCTAGCTGTTTTTTCTACATAGCTAGCCCCTAATTTTGTACAATTACGTTACATATATCTATACATTTATGTACACATTTGTTAAATATTATCTAAGTTTTATTGACCATAAGAAGCTTTTAACTATCTGCATGATTATCGTTCTTGCGATGCTGTTATAAGCAATGTCTGATTATGAACAAATTAAGGCTCCGTTGAGCTTTGCTCATTGACATTATAGAGTCTAATGTAAATAAGCTTTTTGTTTTTTGAAAGAGGATTTTTACTTATGTTTGGCTATTTATTATAGCAATGAATACAAAAAATAAATCAGTAAATAACCATCAAATAAATGAAAAAATTTTAACCTTCGTTGTGGCTTAAAAGCTATTTATTATTATAATTATATAAACACCATACATCACTGATTATATATAATGCAACGCCAATTAAGACATCTCAAAAAGTTATCTAAAAACATAAGCGAAAGTATAAAATAATAGATGGGTTGTATTTTTTGCTGGTAGTGGTGTCAAATTGGGTCTATGGGTGGAGTTCGAAATTGACCTGCCCTAAAATTATTTAACCTAAATGTTAAATGGATTAGTAGATCCAACCTGAAACTGACCTACCTTTAACCTGCATGCTCAAACCCAACCCATATAAAACATTCAGCATAAGGCATAATATCTATTTGGATCAATTTTGGAACATTTAAATCAACCTCCAGTCAATTTCAGGTTAACGGGTCAATTTCAATTTTGTGGGTCAATTTTGGGTTGGTGTGTCAACTATAAGCATCGCCATAAAAAATAAACGGGTTAAGAGATTTAACCCAAATCCAATCCGAAAATTTTTCAGCTCAATCCAAGCATGGGTTTTTTGAGTTGGGTTTAAGTCGAGTTGATGTGTCGGGTCAACTTTTTAAACTCGTAGCCCCGAGAACCACGTAGAAGTGAACAGCTCCTAACAAGTGCAAATGGAGAAACATTAAGCAACAATAACTCTATGACTATGAGAATTAATGAGAAGCATGTTTATCTGTTTAATTTATAATAATTACTCTTGAGAGTTGAGACTAATCACAAAATATGAACTAGATCATGCATTCCTCATTCATCAAACAACACTATACATTATTCTAAAATCACTCCCCTATCAACAAAACCACATCGACTCCAACGAAAGTTGAATTGCCAAAAGCTACTATAAATTCACTGTTCTATAGCTGGAGCAATATCTACTTTGCAGGTTCTCTTGTAATGTCCTGTTTGATTGCAGCGGCTGCAATGAACCGTATGCTTTTCTCGATTTGACTCATCAATGCAAAGCCGCTTCTTCTCAGGCCTACCCGGCGGACGATGGATCATCGGAGGGCGAACATTTCCAACCTCATCAACGCCCCGACACCGACTTCTCTTAGTCCATTCAATCCTACAATCTAATGGATTTATGGCATCAGAATATGTTCTTCTGTAACTTGCAACAGTGAAACACTTCTCTGCATACTCATAAACATCCTTCTTACATGAGATGAGCGCCGCCGCGGCATGAGAACATGGTATCCCATAAAGTTGCCAGTTGCGACACGAACAGGAGCAAGCCCCGATGTTCACTATATGAGAATGATCAGCCAATATGACCTCGAACTCGACTTCATCCGATCGAATCACTTGGTACAAAGCTCCAGACTGAATAGCCTCTAATAAGATTTTCTCAGCTGACGGAGCAAGCACAGATGTCCAGCTATCACCCTTCTCCCTCCGCTCATTAAACTCCTGTATCAGCCTATTATTTATGCTTTCAACAACCTGAATTATAGGAAGCTCATGGGCGTCCAAAATCCATTTGTGAAACCCCTCAGCATTAGAAAAAAGATGACCAAACCTCGAACCTTCAAAATAAACCACAGCCCAACGGCTGGGTTCGAATTGTTGGATCCATTTCGCTGCCTCCAAAGAGATGTCTTCGATTTCAGCCATCCTCTCTTTGAAGCTGGTAGTTGTGATCGAATAAGCTGCCCTCCAGAGAAGATTAACAAGCCTTGAATTCTTGAACTCCCTATTGATGCTTTCCGTTAAATGTTGCAAGCAGATACCTTGGTTTGAGGATGGAAACTTCCTCTTAATGGCGTCTACTATTTCTCTCCGGCCATCAGAGAGGATTGTTAGCTTAGGTATGGTCTCTGTGTTCATCTCAAGCAGCTTATGGAACTCAGATAAAAACCACATCCAGCTTTCATCAGTTTCTACGTCCACAACAGCAAAAGCTACAGGAAACAAGCCTCCATCAGCATCAAAGGATGTCACGGAAAGTAGGGTGCCGAGAAACTTGCTCTTCAGCTGCATTACACCAAGACCAACCAGAGGAAGACATCCATGTAAAAACCCATTAATGGAAGCACCGAAAGAAATAAAAAGCCGCTGGAACCAATTTTCAGACCCTACAGTAAGCACATGAGCAATACTTCCAGGGTTCTGCTTCTTTATCTGCTCACAATAATCAGGTAGAAGACAGTATCCCTCCTCAGAAGAGCCATATATGGCAGCTAGACCTCGTTCCTTTGCTCTCCAAGCTTGCTTGTAAGGTATAGTGATTCCATATTGCTTCTGAATGTCCTGTAATATGTCCTTCGGTTTGTAATTAACATCATATCTTAGCCTCTCCTCAATAAGATTCACAATCCAATCTACTGATGCTTGCTGATGACCAAGCTGCACGTTTTTCCCGCAAGTATGAATCCCTTCCATGCTCCTTATTTTAAAAGCTTGCGAATTTGGGAGCTTCACTGCACGAATGTGCCATGGACAGTCCGTCTTCGCACATCTCGCAAAGTATCGAAGTAAGTCGCTCTTTATGATCTTGAGTTCGAAATGTTGTGCAATGGCGGAGTCTTTCATAGCCTTTCGAAAACTCTTAACATCATCAAATAGTTGCCCTACAACAAAACTTGGATCTGACATTGCTAGTTTCAATCTCTCACAGTACAGATTGAACCCTTCTGAGCTGCATGCTTCATCAAAGAAATCCTGCCTAACCCAAAACCTTATACAAAGTGAGCTGAGGCCATGAGAATAGCTACTAACGGGCAAAAAGATAGCTCCCAATCCTGTAAACAAAATGTGAAAATTGCATGAGCAGCTGGATCTACTTCATTCGTGGGACATTTAGATGCATACCATCCAATTCCTATGTATTTACATATAAAAGACCAAAACTTTACTTTCTTACATAAAAAACACTCAAATATTTCACATCACATGAAAAATACGATCATTTTGACTTTTAAAAAGTGATATACAGCTTCTCATGCATAGGTAAGGTGGCATACCTGGTGAAAATGAAGTTCTCGTACTATATATATATATTATATATATATATAATGAAGTTCTATAGTGGTATGTGTGTACATCTTCCTTGTTCATTCTTATTTATAAAATATACTACAAATTAAAATTTCCCCCAAAAAAAAAATCTCCTGCCGCCGGAGTACTCCCCACATACAGAACGAGATGCAAAACTACAAGCTAAAATGGCTACTCCTATCGATACACAAAGAATCATGCCAATATCATGCGTCCCAACTCCAAATTATAACAGCAGTTGATGAACAGAACAAACATTATTTAACACATCAATTCTATCAGCAACAAAACAGTAATCTAGAAGACGAATACGACATCATTGATTATGGTTCTTGAGTTCAAATGGAGGAAATACGAACTTTATAGTAAGAATACCAAAAAAGAATCGGAAGGGAACAAGAAAATGGCTTCAAATCAACCCCCAGCTCCAGCACCGCGGAGCTCATCGGAAACACTACGGCGAATGAAACAAGTACAACAAGCGCATCGAGAACTGGGTTTTGAGAGAGATGGTGGCAGAGTTGGGACGCCGTCGAGGTGGCCGGAGGATTGGAAGAAGGTGGAACGGAGGGTAAGAAGAGCGGAAATGGATTTGCCGGGAAGCCCTACTGAGGTCGATAAAGTCTTATCGAAGAGGGGTAATTGGGTAATAAAAAGAGTAAAATGGGGTATTTTAGTCTTTTTTTTTTTAGGAGGATATGTTTCTTTTTTTAGTTTTTTTATGGGCATTTTACACGCTCATACTAAAACTCTCATAGGTGTTAAACAGAAAATTGACAAATAGTGGAATTGATTTGTGGCCGTTATAATTGATTTTGAGCTAGCTTGACTCAGAATTTAGTGAAGTATGATTTGCTCGAAATCGGAATGAGCTGGCTTAAAAAAGTTATTTGGATCCGACTAGCTTGAAATCGGCCTGACCCAACTCGATCCAAATGAGCTAGCTCAAATTCAGTTATTGCCATTCCAACTCGAAATCGGCTTGAATAATCTTAAAATCAAAATGAGCTGGCTCCAATTTCGTTATTTGGATCCATTCCAACTTGAAATCGGCTTGATCCATCTCGAAATACAAATGAGTTAGCTTAAATGGAGTTATTTTGATCTTTTTTGGCTTCAAATCGGCTTGATCCATCTCGAAATAGAAACGAGTTAGCTTAAATTGAGTTATTTTGATCTTTTCCAGCTTGAAATTGGCTCAATACGTCTCGAAACCGAAAAAAATTGGCTCAAACTGAGTTATTTGAATTCATTTCAGCTCGAAATCACCTAAACTCAACTTGTGGCATCTTATATTCAATTTTATTTAGCATTATTTATATATTTTTAATAAATAAATAAAAATCTTGAGTCAGTTCAAGGCGATCCGTGCACTGCTTAAAATTAGCTCAACAAAAATTCAATCCAAAGTTTAGGATCATAGCTTGACAAGTTTATTTCAATACATTCTCAATCCGAGTCAAAATTCAAATCAATTTTCAAACGTTTAACAATCTTTGAGTTGATTTCACAGCTCTAACTGTAGGCTTTATAAAATAGGAATTTTAAGTATGAAATATATAAATATAATAGAATTAAATGTTCGAATAAAATTCTTTTTCCTTTATGTGGAAGTCAAACAAGTTTAAAGAAAATATTTTTAATTAAAATAAATTATGATTGTGAAATTTTAATAATAACAGCTAACTTTATGAATTAAATATCTATCAATACATTTTGTTAATATAATATATATATATAGTTTTAACAAATTCAACCATAACAGCCCGTCTAGCTCAGTTGGTAGAGCGCAAGGCTCTTAACCTTGTGGTCGTGGGTTCGAGCCCCACGGTGGGCGATGATTTAACTTTTATCTTATGGGCACGTAAAATTCTCTTTTTATTCAAAAAAATATATAATTTAACAGATTTATTTCTTCGGTGCGTCGCTTTCTATCTGTGCTTCTCAGTGCCCCAAAGTCCCCAAC